TGCAGGGGGTTATATTTTAGGTCTCCTCCCCCACTCTCTTACATTCAAACCCTCTCTTAGCTCACACTAGAACAGGCCGCCACACCATCATTTGGTTTAATATGAGTGGAACAACTAAACCGCACAGACTTTATTTGACCAGTTAGTTGAACCTTTTATTAATATGTGCAAAGAGCTGCAAACTAATATATATATACACTGCAAACAATAAATACACAATCCAAAATAAAAACACCTCTGCAAATGAAGTGGAAACGTTTGCTCTGGCGGCGCTTCGCATCAACGTGTATATGAGGCACTTTTGAGACTTGATCTGTGCATAGGTGCATCTTTGATGTGCAGCTCAGAGATCCACAATCCAGCACGTTTCTGTTTCTCTGACCGTCAGGCTGGCTGAACCGAGGTCACGTCAGAGCTTTGTTTTTTATCTATATGTAACAGACAGTCGGTTCCTCTCCTTCCACGCATTTCATACGACACAGCAGGCAGACTGCTGGTTGGTTGACCAGAGTATTTTAATGTCTGTCATTAACACATCTCAAGAGGTGTAGGCGCCAAAAAGTGAATCCAAATGTAGCAGCTGCAGCACGGCACACAGAGCAAATATTTTCATGGGGTAGTATCACAAATAAGACCTTGAATATGTAGTCCCTTTAACTTCTTTCCTTCTATTAAACTCTTTGAGAAAAATCTATCCAGTGTACTCCTGATATGAGCTCTTATCATTTGTTCCTGATGTTCAAATACATTCCTGGACTCAACATATGTGGCTGTGTCTCTGTCCTTGCTATAGATATGTGTTAATGTGCAAAATAAGGTTAAAAAATTAAGAAATAAATGTGAGTTAGAGCAAGCTAGAGGAGCAGAGAAGAATGTGTTAAATGAGGGTTAACTACCACAACAGACCGCATGTACAAATCAAGTTCTCCCTCTAGTTCGTTTTCATCCTCCTCGTCCTCCTCCTCATCTCCTTCTAACCCTGTTTTTACTCCTTGGGATTAAAAAGCAAAAAGGGGCCCGAATCTACTCCTGCAGGAACAATTGGTCTTTTTCTTTTTTTAGAAGCGATCTTCGCTTGTTTGTCTCTAGTTAGTTAACAAGAATGCATGAGTATTTTACTGACTCACTAACTGACATTGGCACTCTCGGGGGTTTAGAGGTGGCGTATGTACACAGATTGAGGAGGATCTAAGTATGACGTGGATGACAGTGGGAATCGGGCGTGGCCCTCCTGTCAAATTTCATTCCCACTTTGAGTTTTTGTTTCAAAGTTGGTTCAGCCTGATGCAAATCTCACTGCAAGAAGAAAAGTACCCTGTAAATCTATAGCAGCTATAGTTTAGGTAGCAGAGCGTAAACTAACACGTCACTTGGAGAGATCTGTAGATTTTTCCTTCATGGTTTCAAATGTAAGATGACTGATTTGGTTAATTTTTGTTTTAAACTGAGCAAACCTGGTCTTCTCCCGAGGACTGCTGCAGGTATCATGCAAGCATGTTAATTTAATAAAAAACCAACAACAACAAAAACCCCAAAATAGAATGAAACTCATTTCAGCAGACAAATAACATTGATAGCGACATTTTTTTGTACAGATGATTGGCAAACGGAAAGTTTCTAGAGAGTCGTGTACACACAAATAGACTACTACAACATGCTACTTAGTCAGGGGAGTTTGGGAATGACAACGAAGCAGAACAAAATTAGACCCAAACATTGTCATGGAAACGAAAACACAAAAAGCTGAGGGGAGGGAATAGAGAGGAGGAAAGCTAAGTTGGCAGCGGGATTGCTGGAGGGAAGCGGGGAGGCAAAAGTTCTGTGTGCATGAAAAGAGACTTAAGCCACAAGTCGACTTACAAGAGAAAACTGTCAAGAATCACAATGATTAATAAGTTTTAACACTTGGTATTTTTCGGTATTTTCAAAGGCTTTTCAGAAGGATAGAAGCAGTGTTTTTCCCGCGTACCGCTCCGTCCGCTCAGTTCTTCGTCAGTGAATTCTGTCAGTGTTTTGATCTGTTCACCATCAACATTGCGTGCAGCAGCAACCACAGCCTCCCAGACACTGTTCAGAGAGGTGTACTGTTTT